CCACTGTATTTCTGAGGCTGACCTCTGCTGCCGTAGCTGGTCATGGTCACTGCCCTCGAGTGTCCCGCTGAGCCCACACGCCTCCGCTTATCCATTTAGCCGTGGATGGGCATCAGGTCACGCCCAGTTTGGAGCCACAATGAACGCTGATGCTCTGAACATCCTTGAACCTGTTTCCTGTGCGCACAAGCATATGATTCTCTAGGGCACACATCTTGGAAGGGACACTTCTGAGTCACAGCTCTGTGCATCTCAGCTTTCCAGGTGCTCTGTGGCCTCACCCACACTCAGTGTCAGAATCTGTTCTCAATGCCCCCTGCCCCCAGGCATCCGTGTTGGAGTCTCTGACACACTAAGATCTACCAGCCAGGCCGTGCGGCCTCAGAAACGCCTGCCCAACTCTGCCCCCAACACACATCACACCTCTGCCCCTCGCTCTTCCCCACGCTTTTTAGGCCAACACGGAAAGGTGACATTTGGGCACTGTCTCCTCACTGATGACCAAAAGGGACATCTGTGTGATTTGGGGGGCTGCTCACCCACCACCAGCTGCACGTGTGTGGAGGCTTCAGGACAGTACGTGCTCTGTCGCTCTAGGTGTCCTGGAACCAGGCATTCAGCTGACCAGAATCCATCCCTGTCCCCGAACACTCTGGATGTCCCGGCCTGCAGACACCGTGGTCTCCCCTTCTGTTGAGTATACTGACCAGCACTGGTCACCTCCTCCTGGAAGCTGAGGACCCTGGACATGGGCCCATCCTTGGAGACGGGAATCTTATCTTGTCACCTCTGTGTCCCCAGCACAGGCCCAGACCCAGAGGCAGAACTAATGGCTATTTTGGGATATCTGATTTTGTTCCAGCCCTCTAACTTTTGTCAGAAAAGATGGAATTGCCTTCACTCCATGTTCACTGAAGGCAACTGAGGCCCAGCGAAGGGGGTGTGACAATCCCAAGGTCACAGAGCAAGTAAGCAGCCACCAAGCACTTGATTCGCACCCCTTGGCAGTAAGACCCTCGTTCCCGAACACCTCACAGACCAGCTCCAGGAGTTAGCCGAGCCTCGGTTTTTGCCTTGTTAAATGGAGTCACACTAGCTCCATGGAATTAAATAAGACGCCACGTATAAAAGCATGGACCCAGTGTGTGGTGTGCACAGGTGACAAACAGATGTCTAGTCATTTACTCATTCATTCACTTATTCTTTCACTATGTCACAGGCAAAGGCAATCTGGCAGAGTCTGGACAAAGAACCAGCAAAGTGACCCAGAAACCACGTTCACTAATACATCCACATCCCAGTGCCTGGCACACAACAGCAAGTGTCCATTAGGATGAAATCAGGCTGAAGATGAGGAGGAAGCAGGAGACGCTTTAGTTCCCAAAACGCCTCCCTACACATTACATATAGTTTTTTAAAAAAACAGAAAGAGAGGAGGGAAGAGAAAAATTGGAAAACAAACCAACCAGCCCTGAAAGCAATATAAATATCTTGTACGATGGGGGATTTGGTAAATGGTGTCTTCTTTTATTGCTGGGATATTCCAAAGCAGGGGTCAGCAAAATCCAGCACGTGGACCATCTCTGGCCCACTGCCTATACGTGTAAATAAAGATTAAGTGAAAACCAGTCGTTAGCTTTGCCTGTCCTTGAACTTCCTATCAGTGGAATCACACAGTATCTCCTCCTCTGCATCCAGCTTCTTTCATGCAACGTTACAGCTTAGAGAGCCGAGCTTGTGTGTGTGAGCAGGTCATCCTCGTTTCTGTCCAGCATCTCACTGTTCGATTATAATGCAGTATCATCACCCTCCCCCTTCTGCACGTGGGGAAACCGCAGCTGCGCTGAAGCAAGTTGCCAGAGGGCACACAGCAGGCTCACGTTAGATCTGGGATTTAAACCCAGGGTCCAAATCTCTGCTTTTCACTCCCTGGACAGTGCTGCCCCTCATGCTGTGATGATGCCTGAGAGGTGCTGGGAACTCAGAAGAAGGAAATCATCATCCAGGCTGGGAGTCAGGGAAGGTGAAATCAGAGTCAGGGTTCCCAGACTCAGACGTCCACAGGGCCTGGAAGCTGCCACAAGTGATCAAAGCAGACGACCTCTGAAAAAGCATAGCTTGTGGTCAGGGAAGCGACAGGGAGTGGTAAGGACTGTGGCGAGTTGAGGGATGCCGACCCGTGAGGGCGGCAGGTGCTGATAAAACTCCAGGTATCATGCCATGCGATGATGCTGGCTGAGGGGAGCCAGATGCAGCAGGACTGCCGTGCTGACCTCTGTGGCCAGGAGGTCAGTGCCCAGCTGCACGGGTTATGAAATAATTTGAGTATCACTCCAGAGTTGCCAGATGCCCTTTCTGTGTGCCAACACACCTGGCAGTCTCTCTTTGAAAGTCTCCTGGTTTTTAAATGTTGGTTCAAAAATGATTTTAAGCCTGTGCAGCCCCGAGAGAACTTATGTGTGGTCTGGACTGGCCTGAACTGATCTAAGCGGCGGCAATGAGGACCACTCAGGATGGGCTGGCAGGGAGGGGAGGCGGGTCCTGGGGAAGGCACAGCACAAAGGCTGCAGGTGAGAGTGGTTCGAATCCAGGTCTCAGTTTCCTGCGCCAGAAAGAAAAACACACCAAGCCCAGCCAGGCGGGGCAGGGGGCGGGCGGACCAGGGGCCCCACTCGGCCGGCCACGCAGTGACGCGCTGTGCTCTCCCTGCCGCCCCCGCAGATCCTCGAGGAGAACATGAGGCTGGAGTGTAAGTGCCACGGCGTGTCGGGCTCATGCACCACCAAGACCTGCTGGACCACGCTGCCGCAGTTCCGCGAGCTGGGCTACGTGCTCAAGGACAAGTACAACGAGGCTGTTCACGTGGAGCCCGTGCGCGCCAGCCGCAACAAGCGGCCCACCTTCCTGAAGATCAAGAAGCCGCTCTCCTACCGCAAGCCCATGGACACCGACCTGGTGTACATCGAGAAGTCGCCCAACTACTGCGAGGAGGACCCGGTGACGGGCAGCGTGGGCACGCAGGGCCGTGCCTGCAACAAGACGGCCCCCCAGGCCAGCGGCTGTGACCTCATGTGCTGCGGCCGCGGCTACAACACCCACCAGTACGCCCGCGTGTGGCAGTGCAACTGCAAGTTCCACTGGTGCTGCTACGTCAAGTGCAACACGTGCAGCGAGCGCACCGAGGTCTACACGTGCAAGTGAGCGGCAGGGCAGCGGCCCCACTGGCCGCACGCGGGGCGGTGAGGACCGGACGCTCTCCACGCCGCGGGCACGGCCCAGACCTCTGCAGCCGCACTGAGCTTGTCTTGTCTGCTGTGGGGTCCCCTGAGGGGGACCCCTCCAGGGCCCCAAGTTGTCCACGCCACACCCAGTGCCGCTCCCTCGGCCCCAGACGCCACCTGGGGCCTCCTTGGCCGGAGCAGAACCTTCGCACCAGAAACTCTGGACTCCGGGGCCTCAAGAGAGCAATATTTAACAATTTATTCTGATAAAAAATAATATTAATTTATTTAATTAAAAAGAACCCTTCCACCTCGTCGGGATCCGTTTTCTGCAATCAAAGTGGACCGCTTGCTCTCCTGTGGGATAATTCTGTCGCTAGGACAAGGAGCTGAGTAGAACCGTGCATAAGATACGTCTACTAGTTAATTTCGCAAGTACCCCCTGCCGCACTACATGTTTAAGTGCAAGGGCAGACATCCTGTATACCTATGTAGACATATACACACACGCTTATATTTTTTTTGCTGTTTGCTGCTAATTCTCCAGAGATTTAAGCTGGTCCAGAAATGGAGACATTTTCCAGGATACGTTTCCCATCCTGTAGTCCTCCCCAGCTCAGATGTCACCATTAGAAAAGTCCAGTTTGGAATATATAGAGAGAGGAAAGGTAATACTAAAACTCCCAGCAGTTTCCATCTTTTGGAAAGTGAGCCACTGGATAAGAGAGAATATTTTGTACGAGACTATTTTTATATGAATATTTTATTTATATTGAGTCTGCCTGTGTCATTCCATGGCTTGTGCTTCTTAATTCCAGTACCTCCCTTTGGGGTGAGGAGGGGCGAGGCCGGGTATGGGGTCAGCCCCACGGGGACCCTCACATGGCTGGGTTCTCAAGTTCTGTGGGCAGAAGTGGCCCCAGATGCCTGGGCTGCAGTGTCATGGGCATCCCTAGGAAGGAAGCAGGTCCCTGGCCACAGCCTGTTGAGCTCAGGCCTTTTGAGCAGGGTCCCTGAGCAGTGACCTCGAGTTGAGCCATGTAGTGGGCAGGCTCCTGCCCTCGGTATCACGTGACCACCACAGGGACAGGTCATCGTCACTCAGCAGAAGCCAGCTAAGGGAGCCCGCTCCTCACCAGGATGCCCTGCCGTTGCTGTGTATCCTCAGTTATGGGGCAGCAGAGCTGGGGTGAGGGGTCCCACGAGCAACAGTGAGTTAGTGGACGGCTGGTTGGTGTCACGGTCCCAGGGCAGAGGGAGGTGTGGATGAGGCCTCTCTACACTGGGTCCAACTACATCCAGTGCCTCTCAGTCTGGAAAGCTCTCCTCCAGAAGGGTGTGGTGTCCTAATGTGTGTCCATCTGCATTTCCCTGTGTGTGTGTGAGAGAGAGAGAGAGAGAGAGAGAGAGGGAGGGAGAGCTCTCCATTTTGTGAGGACATAGGGAGAAAGTGGTCATCTGCAAGCCAGGAAGAGACCTCTATCCAGAAACCAGATTGGCCAGTATCTTGATCTTGGAATCCCAGCCTCCCGATAAATTTCTATTGTTTAACCCACTCAGTCTATGGTATTTTGTTATGGTAGCCTGAGAAGACTAATAAACTCAGAAATCAGCCTTCTTTAAAGTCATTTTACAATCTGAATTATAGCCATTTGTTTTAGGGAAAAAAAAAAAAAATCTCATAGACAAATCCGGACTAGATTTTAGAGGCTATGTACGACCTGTTTAAATTCCCAAGGCTTGTACTCAAAGAGAAATTCCCTTTGGGACACAGTACACCCTGGTGCATACTGTAATCCTGAAGGCCCTCCTCCCAAAGGGCTCTGTGGATTAACTTGGTTTCGTTAATCCACAGAGCCAACTGCTGAGGACCACATTCCCCATTAGTCCAGGTACTGGGGGTCATCCCAGAAGGTGCTTGGAGCTTTGACCTCACTCAGTGGAGGAGAGGCTATGACAATGACCATGGAGGAGTAGAGAGGCTGAAGGTGTCCGGCATCCATATTCAAAGCCCTCATAATCTGTGATGCACACAGTGACCCTATTCATAGGTTTGGCAGTCACCTAGCCAGAGAAATGTGGACAGAGACAGATCTTGGCTCCTTGCCTTGACCTCTGAAAACATAACACTTTGTGAATTCTGATAAGCCCCAGACATGAGGAGACAGAAGGTGGGCACAGCTGGAGCAGCTCTTTGATCAAGAGCCAACATGGTGACAGGCGGTGGCAGCTGCATGGCTGGCCAAGCCCACAGGGGTGGGCTATCCACAGGTCAGGGAAGAGGGCTGGCCTGCTACAGTCAAGGGGCATGTAACACTGAGATAGTAGAGTTATCCTGATCAAAGGGGGACGAGGACTCCTACTGATCTTACCTACCTGGATAATTAAGCAGGATCATGGTCTTTATTTCCCTTGGTCCTACAGACACACGTGGCAATAGGTTTTTACAGGGACTATGCTATCATGTGGTCAGAATCAGGCTGTTCCCTGACCAAACAAATGAATTGAAGGAAAGGATAAAAGAAAACAAGGCAAGAAGGTGGCTAAGAATTGCCTGCATCAAGTTTTTGGAACTGAAGGTGGAAAACGAGCCACGGATGCCCAGAGAGAGAGAGAGAGAGAGAGAGAGAGAGAGAGAGAGAGAGAGGGAGAGGGGGAGAGAGGGAGAGAGAGGGACTTTAAGGATGCTCGGGGTTGCCATGGACGGCACCCTCGAGCACCTCCCGGGTGCTGATGTGTGTACGTCTTGTGTGCTTCTGCATGTAGACAGCTATCTGTGTATCTCTCTCCATGTGCCTGGGAGATTCAGGTTGCTGTGTGCCCGTGCATCTGCTGCTCCCGGGTTGTCTTTGCTTGTGGCTGACAGCTCGTGGTGTGAAGCAGACAGCGGGGACCTTTGGTGATTGTGTTGAGCCACCAAGAGATGGCACCTCTGAACTACGTGCTCACAGACACTGATGAAACTCAGATACCTCTGAGACCACAGCCCCATGGCCCCACACACTGGGAGCCCCTCAGTGTCTAAGCTGTGTTGGACTCCCCAGTGTTAGCCCTGGGCCTGGATCACAGCATATGGACAAATAAAATGGCTGGACAGTTGGGTAACTTCTTCCTTTGGACCATTTTTTTCTTCTTTACATGGGTGTCAGGATGGGTAGGCATGTAAAGGGATGAGTGGATGGATGAATGAGTGAGTGGATGGATGAATGAGTGAGTGGATGGATGAATGAGTGGATGGATGGATGGATAATGACGGGTGGGTCGGTGGATGGATGGATGGATGAGTGGACAGATGAGTGAGTGGATGGATAATGGATGGGTGGGTAAGTGTGTGGGTCAGTGGATGGATGGATGGATAATGAATGGGTGGGTAAGTGGATGGGTAGATGGATGGATGCGTACGTGGGTAGATGGATAGATGGATGAGTGAGTGGATGGTGGATGGATAGTGGATGGGTAGGTAGGTGTGTGGGTCAGTGGATGGATGAATGGATGGATAATGAATGGGTGGGAAAGTGGTTGGGTTGATGGATGAATGGATAGGTAGATGGACAGATGAGTTAGTGGATGGATGGTTGGATAGATGGAGGGATAATGCATGAGTGGGTAAGTGGGTGGGTCAGTGGGTGGTAGATAGATGGATGGATGGATGGATGAATCGGTGGGTAGGTGGATGGATGAGTGAGTGGATGGGTGGATGGATAAGTGGATGGATAATGGTTGGGTGCATAGGTGGGTGGGTCATTAGATGGGTAGGTGTATGGGTGAGTGGATGAATGGGTAGGTGGGTGGGTGGGTGGATGGATGGATGAATGGGTGGGTAGGTGGATGGATGGATGAGTTGATGGGTGGATGGATAATTGATGGATAAAGGATGGGTGGGTAGGTGGGTGGGTCGGTGGGTGGGTAGATGGATGGATGGAAGAATGGGTGGATGGATGGATAATGAATGGGTGGGTAAGTGGATGGGTCAGTGGATGGGTGGATGGATGGATAATGGGTAGGTCGGTGGATGGGTAGATGGATGGATGAATGGGTGGGTAGATGGATGGATGGATGAATGAGTGGGTAGATGGATGGATAATGGATGGATGGGTAAGTGGGTGGGTCGGTGGATGGGTAGATGGATGGATGAATGGGTGGGTAGATGGATGCATGGATGGATGAATGAGTGGGTAGATGGATGGATAATGGATGGGTGGGTAGGTGGGTGGGTAGGTGGGTGGGTCGGTGGATGGGTAGATGGATGGATTAATCAGTGGGTAGATGGATGGATGGATGGATAATGGATGGGTGGGTAAGTGGGTGGGTAGGGGATGGATGGATAATAGATGGGTGGGTAGGTGGGTGGGTTGGTGGAAAAGTGGATGGATGGATGGACGGGTGGGGGGGGATGGATGGATGGACGGGTGGGGGGGGATGGATGGATGGACGGGTGGGGGGGGATGGATGGATGGACGGGTGGGGGGGGATGGATGGATGGACGGGTGGGGGGGGATGGATGGATGGACGGGTGGGGGGGGATGGATGGATGGACGGGTGGGGGGGGATGGATGGATGGACGGGTGGGGGGGGATGGATGGATGGACGGGTGGGGGGGGATGGATGGATGGACGGGTGGGGGGGGATGGATGGATGGACGGGTGGGGGGGGATGGATGGATGGACGGGTGGGGGGGGATGGATGGATGGACGGGTGGGGGGGGATGGATGGATGGACGGGTGGGGGGGGATGGATGGATGGACGGGTGGGGGGGGATGGATGGATGGACGGGTGGGGGGGGATGGATGGATGGACGGGTGGGGGGGGATGGATGGATGGACGGGTGGGGGGGGATGGATGGATGGACGGGTGGGGGGGGATGGATGGATGGACGGGTGGGGGGGGATGGATGGATGGACGGGTGGGGGGGGATGGATGGATGGACGGGTGGGGGGGGATGGATGGATGGACGGGTGGGGGGGGATGGATGGATGGACGGGTGGGGGGGGATGGATGGATGGACGGGTGGGGGGGGATGGATGGATGGACGGGTGGGGGGGGATGGATGGATGGACGGGTGGGGGGGGATGGATGGATGGACGGGTGGGGGGGGATGGATGGATGGACGGGTGGGGGGGGATGGATGGATGGACGGGTGGGGGGGGATGGATGGATGGACGGGTGGGGGGGGATGGATGGATGGACGGGTGGGGGGGGATGGATGGATGGACGGGTGGGGGGGGATGGATGGATGGACGGGTGGGGGGGGATGGATGGATGGACGGGTGGGGGGGGATGGATGGATGGACGGGTGGGGGGGGATGGATGGATG